AAAACCAACATTCCCCAAATTTTTCAAAAAAAAGAAAAAAAAAAAAAAAAAAAAAAAAAAAAAAAAAAAAAAAAAAAAAACAATGTTTGTCAATGTTTCTGTTACTGCAGGTGGCAGCACTCCTCCGGGCATTAGCGCCCCCACAGTGACCAGCATCCCCTCCCCCATTAGCGTTAATGGTTTTACTGGCATGCCGCCGCCCCAGGCGAACGGGCAGCCGCCGGCAGAGGCTGTCTTCACCAACGGGATCCACCATTACCCGGGTAAGGTTTGATCGTCTGCGTAGCATCCATTAAGAAGTCACAGAAACAGCAGCTAACTTTATTAGCACCTAAATACTGTTTTGTTTTTGTTTTTTTGTTTTTTTTTTCCGTTCTATTTGCTGTGCTTCAAGATAGCAAAACTTTATAGACACAGACCAGTTAGAAGCATGGCTCCAGATTGCATATCTTACCAGCTCTAAAGCATGTTGTTAAGGGGAAATAAATGGCGTGGAGGTGAGCGCCTCTTCACCGTCCCGACGGTGCGAGTGTGAGATTGTGTGGTGAGCCGTGGCTCGTGCTTTTTTTGTTTTTTTTTTTGTTCTGTTTTTTTTTTTTTTTTTGAGGGGATGGACGAAGAAAACTCTATCTGCTTTTTCTCTTTCACGCTCTTGTCTCCGCAGTGTTGCAGGAGGTGGTTTTTAGGGAGGACTCAGAGAAAAACGGCTTGGGCGTGGCTCCGCGGAGTTGTTTTGGGGTTCAGGGTGGCTGCTTCCTCTCCTCTCTCTCTGAAGGTAGCGCTCCTCTCCCACCCGCCCTCACTCTCATCTCTCACCAGGCTCAAAACGGTCGGGAAGATCAGAACCCTAAATATTTTGTGGTTTTTTGTTTTTTTGTTTTTTTTGGCTGTTGTGACATTTCTGGAGAAAACTGGGAGGGATTGTAATCTCTGAAGATGAACAAGATGAACCGGCAGGCTCTGGGGGAGCTGCAGTGATTCACAGCCCAGACGGCAGAATGTGTTCGCAGGACATCGTTCAGATAAGCGCTCCACAAATATGACCTTTATGAAAGAATGACAAAAATACTTTGTTTGAATCTTTTTAAAGTTTGTAGAACATTAACAAAACATAAGCAACATGTCTACTTCCCTTCCTGACCCACACCACCAAAAGTACAAAAATAAGTAAAATTCAGGAGAGCAAAACAAAGGCAGTTTGTGAAACGTAGAAACCTTTTAACATGACTATAGAGAATCTAATGGATCACTAGCATGGCGTCTACGTAGGTCACCCGCCACGCTGGATCTCTAGCAACTCTTGTTGAATGTGTAGAAATCCTTGAATTGCTGCTCACAGATAAAACTTCGTCTAATCAGACTGAGCTGAAGAAGCAACTGAGAAAGGTTTCACTCTTCGTCCGTCTCCCTGGAGACAAACCTGGCGGATCTGCGAAGTATTGACCCAGCATGCCAGACACAAATTATGAACCACATTTTTCCAGACTTTTACTTGTACAAAATGTTTAAAAAAAAATCCCTTTCTTTCCACTTTAAAGCAATTCACCACTTTATGTTGGTCTATCAAATGAAAGATTGCAATAAAAGGCCATATAAATGTGCAAAGTTTCAAGGTGTACTTCTGCCAGGCGCCGTATCAGGGAATGACAAAATATCCTCTAAAATTTGCAATTAAATGACATTTTGAAAGTCGGATGTTTCCAAAGTTTAAACAAGCAGAAACTTCCAGTGAGACACGTCCACTCGAGAAAGGCAAGAGTGTGATCTCGCCCTTTTCCCAAACCGTGACCTGAGAGTAACCTTTGCCTGTTGCCCCCGCCCTCCTCCTCTCCCCCCCCTTCCAGGTTGGAAAAGAAAGCTACAATATGATTTCACACTCTGTAACTTTTATAGAGCTCTATTTTAGCCCTCACCTCTCCTCTTTCCTCCAGGCCATCTGTGACTGTGTGTCAGTGTTGCTGTCGGTTCACAGTGTGTTCGATATTTTCTCGGCTGTTTCGAGTGATGTTGGGTCTATCGGTGTGTGTCTCTGTGTGCGTCCTCTCTCAGTGGTGTGTGCTCTGTGTGCATGCGCTGCCTGTGGACCAGACGGGTAGAAAAACGCGCGCGCAGGTACCATCCCCGGATGTACGGCGCCAACTCGTGGCGACAGATGCGTCCGCTGCTGTGCGTTTAGCTCTCTGCGGAATGAAAACCGTTTTGTAGGATCTGGATTTGCATGACGGAGTTTTTGTTTGGGTTTTTTTGGGGGGGGGGTTTCCTGTGGTGTGGTGGTGGTGGTGGTGTGTTTTTTTGTCTCTTTACTCCCTCGAAGTTGTACTTGTTTTCAAGAATAGCACACTAGAGCTACTTTGAAGATGCCTCAGCAGGAGCATGAAGTGAAAAGTTTTGGACACACTGAAGGAAAAGCGAGCTGCCTCTAACCTCCCTGTCTGTTCTCCTTCTCCTTCGCTCCCCTTGTTATCTTTTCCTCCGTGCCCTCTCTTCCATCTACATTCTCCGTCCGTCTCACCTCTCTCCTCCTCCTCCTCCTCCTCCTCCTCCTCACTTTTTCCCGCTGAAGCAGCTCAGAGTCCCACTGCGGCCGACCCTCTCCAGCAGGCTTACACAGGAGTCCAGCAGTACGCAGGTCTGTCCGTCACTCTGTCCCTCCGCAGCTCATCCGTGTGTCTGTCTTGAGTGGCACGGGTGGCTGCGAGTTTGCATCCGAGACCCTTTAAAATAAATAATAATAAAATTAAAGGAGTGCAAAGATAAGCACTCCTGTTTTCAAATTAGGTATTTTGATCATGTAGCCCTCCTGTCTTTTCGGTCCAACTGGATCAGTTTATTCTCTCCCGGCGGTGTTTGTGCAACACGCAGACTCCATTGTGTACGCTATCTGATCGATTGCTTGCTGTGCTCCTGCATATATCACATTGTTTGTATGTATTCAAGTGTGCGCTGTATTCATGACTGTTATCTGATGCGCGGCGTGTGTGTGTGTGTGGGTGTGTGTGTGTGCGCGTGTCTTTGTGTGGGTCTCAGCAGCCTACCCCGCCGCATACGGTCAGATCAGCCAAGCCTTCCCCCATCCTCCACCCATCATTCCACAGCAGCAACGAGAAGGTAACACACACACACACACACACACCTATACACGCACACAGACAATACTGCAAAAATTTAATTTTGCTGTTGCTTTTCTTTCAAGCTTTTACTGCGTTTTTCTTCTCTGTGTCTGAGTGGTTCAGGCAGCTATTCTACACAACAACGTACTATTTTAAATCAGATGAACCGAGGCGAATCTAAATGCCCCAATTTTGTTCTCCGTAATTTATGACAAATAATTTTGAAAAGATGAAAGGCCCTTAAAAGTGAATTTTGAATCAAAGTAACAGGATTTAAAAAAAAAAAAAACGGAGTATCTCCAACTTTGCTGTAAACCTGCTCATATAAACTTGATGACCCCGAGGAGCAGCAGGCTCATGTCTGGGGCATCACTGCCCTCTAGTGGAGAGGATAAAAAGCGCTCCAATCCGTCGTGACGGAGTCTGTGGGTTTTAGGCTTTTAGTGGTGATTTGGTAAAGGAAAAACTAAAAATATAGAGAGGGGTGAACATGTTTAAAATTACTGTCAACTAACCAGAAAACACCCAGATACAAAAATACGAGGAGAGGCAGCTGTTTACTACAATTTCAGTCAGACGGCTCTGTTACTCTCAAAGGAAAGTTATATTCTTACAGCCTCTTGGTTGAAGAATCGACACCGGGTCATTGCATAATGTAATTTGCAGAAAGTGGGACCGCTGTGAAACAAAGGCCGAACGAGTCAGAAAGCATCTCAAAGCGGTTACCGTGGAGAATCTGTGTGACTGTGACTCTGTTTCGAGATGTTGAAGTTCCTGGTGTTATGAACTCTTGAAATACTGTGAAGCTTTAAAGGGAAAAGCAATCAAAGGAAGAGTTCAGTAGACAGTAAGTCAAGCATCTTCCATGGCTATCTCTCTCCCCAGACCTGAAAATGTGAGAAACAAGCAAAAAAGAGAGTCTGTGAAAATATTTTACTATTTAAACAAAATTACATATAAAATTAGAGGTTTTCTTCATGATTATACTGAAAAAAAAACAAACAAAAAAAAAAACAGGAGTTTTGACAAACCTTTACCAGGCGTACCAGTTGTTTTGACTGAATCTTCTCTCATGGTTAGTTTTTTTTTTTTTTTTTTTAATTTTTGCTTTTTTTTCACCCCCCATCTTTTTTTCTCTTCTCCCGTCTCTTCCCTATTTTCGTGCGTGTGTGTGCGTGTGTGCATGTGTGTCTCCTTTTCACTGTTCCCATGCAGGACCAGAGGGGTGCAACCTGTTCATCTACCACCTCCCTCAGGAGTTTGGGGATGGAGAGCTGATGCAGATGTTCCTGCCTTTCGGTAATGTCATCTCCTCCAAAGTGTTTGTGGATCGGGCGACAAACCAAAGTAAATGCTTTGGTGGGTAAAAATGAACAGAATAAAAAAAAATCTCTATATATACTGATTACTGTTTTCTATTTATTTTTATTATTTTCATTTTCACTGAATGCATGAGGCGATTTTTTTTTTCTCCTTTCCATTTTAAATTAAAGCAGAACACTTTGCTGCAGCCGTGCAGAAATGCATGCATTCAAAACTGATTTCTCTCTTTATTCCTATTAACGCCGTTTTACTCCGAAGCTCAACTTGTTTTCATTTCTGCATTCATATGACTTTTAATTCCTTTATTCCTGTGACATTTTTTTTTTTTTTTACAAATATGTGATCTCGGACTGAACTGCTGCTGTGTCGCTTCGCCGCTGACGACGATGAGCTCAGAGTGATGGAGAGCGTTTGATGTTGAGTCCATCAGCTGCAACCAATTAGCAAATTAGCTCTCTCATTAATATGACGCAACATGAATGTGCTTGGAGGAAGGAGCGTTCTGTGAAACCTTCGTGTTGAGTCTGTGTGTGTTTGATTGGTAGCTGTTGCGAAGCTACTGTCACTGTGCTGTAAAAAGTATTCGCACCCCTTGACCTTTTGTCACGTTTCCTTATTTCGTCAGTGTATTTTACTGAGGATTGTACAACAGCAGTGCAAAGCTGTGCATACATGTTAGAAAGAAAATGTATTTATTTTTTTATTCCAGCATTGCTCAGCTCTTACATGTCCAACATGCTGCTTCAGTTACAGATTCTCAGTCGGGTCTGGGGTTGGGGTTTGACCAGGCCGTCCTGGCACGCTAACGTTCTCTTAGCCGTCCCTCCGTGGCGCCGGCTGCGTTTTCCAGGCTGCTGCTCTGCTTGGAAAGTAAATCCGGTATCTGCTCCAATCTCACTCCTTCTGGAGCCTCTTTTTCTTCCAGTGTTGCCCTGCGTTGTGCTCCATCCATCTTCCCATTAACGCTGACAAACATCACTGTTCCTGCTGCTAAAAAAAAAAAAAAAAAAGAACAAGCGCCCGTCCCATGGAGGTGGCGGCGCGCTACGTCCACGTGTTGAAGTGGGGATGATGTGTTCAGGGTGATCCAGTGTTAATTTCAACATCTCAGCGTTTTGTATGTAGGTGAAAAACATTGGGGGGTTTTTTCCCCTGATCATTACATTTCAGACTTTAATTGGGGCTTCTAACACTTTTTTTTTTTTTTTTTCCCCCCCAAACAATGGCTTTCTTCTTATTACTTTTCCATTAAGACCAGATCGTTGTAGTACACAGCTGGTATTTCTGATCTCTGCAGATCCTCCAGGGTTAGCGTAAACCATTTTGCTAACCCTGACCCTTACTCCCCCTACCCAACCTCTCTGTTAAGGTTTTACACTTGTGCCACACTCTTTTCAGTTATTTTCAGACCATGGATTGAACAGATGTCCAAAACTCGGTAATTTCTGTTATAATCTCACCCTGATTTAAACGTCTCCATAACCTTAATATCACAGGATGATATTTGCTCACTTATGTCCTCTTAACAAACTTCTGAAAAGCCTTCACAGAAAACGCTGGATTAAGAACGGGGATTAAACCACACACACACACACACACACACACACACACACGGACTCTATTTACTAATTGGGTGCAATTTATTGTGCCGGTGTAAAGGGGCAAATCAGTCCAAACCGTTCAAGGGATGTAAACACTTTTGCAAGGCACTGTGCATGCATTGCTTTATTTTTTACTTTTCCTATATGATTGTATTTCATACATTGGTGACTAAATGATGAAGGATTGTGTTGCTACCTCATACTTTTTCTATGCTATTTGGTTGGAGGCTTCATGTAATATCTTACTGCACTGTTATAGTTGCTTTTTTTTTTCATCTGCAAAAGATTTTTAAAGAATTTCATTGTTGCCTTCAGTTTTATGCTTTGTCACACTATGAACATCCAAAATCAAGGATGCGTCTCTTTTTCAGGATCACAACTCCTTCGTGAAAAGCCACGTCGTTAGCTGCTTCTAACCCTTACTCTGTGTTGCCTCATGAACCCAAACTCTTCCTGCACCTTCACCTGACGACGCTGTGTCCTCCTCCTCTTCCTTCTCCCCTCAGGATTTGTGAGCTTCGACAACCCAGGTAGTGCCCAGGCTGCCATCCAGTCCATGAACGGCTTCCAGATTGGCATGAAGAGACTGAAGGTCCAGCTCAAGAGGCCAAAGGACGCCAACCGCCCCTACTAGCCCCTTCTCCCCTGCCCCAGCCGGCCACCGCGGCAGGCGGGGCAGCCGCCGTCAACAGGAAGAGACAGGTCAGGCGTCACTTGAGCCGAGTAGCCGAACCGAAGCGTGCGCGGCCGCTGCAGTATTAAACTGGCAAACGCCCCGATGGCGAGCCCATTTATGGTGCCGCCTGATGTGTTTTCCATAACCTTTTATGCAAGTCATAAAACACTCGCAGGCACCTAATAACAGCTTGATCATCTGTAAAACGCTTGTAAAGATTAGTGAAGTCTTACTCCGGTGCAGACAGTTTAAGAATATATTTGGTAAAGGTTATGCTAATGTGGCTCGTCCAGGACTTGGCAGGGAGTACGAGTGAGAAACTGGTTTTGAAAGCGGAGAGCATTTAAAAAAAAAAAATAAAAAAGTAAAGTCTTTTAGCTAATCTATGAATTTAAAATCGGTAAAAATGTGGGTTTAGCGTTCTCTTTATTTCTGTAATACAAAGATCCATGCCCCCTGGAAAAGGTGTCTGATCTTGGAAACAGATGGGGTCTTTTTTATTTATTTATTTATTTTTTTATTTTAATGTCAGTCAAACATAAACAAAGCTGTAGAGGCATTTCCTTTACACGCTGCCTCCTCTGTTTGCAGAACATCTTTGCAGTAAGTGACCCCGCATGTTACCCTGTAGGTAAAAGATAATTGGTAAACGGCTCGGCGTGTTGCGCTGAGAAGGAAACGGTTCCGAGGGGGTGAGGGCAGGCATTTATTACCCCTCAGGCGAGTAATTGTGCCGTTCCTCTTTGTCTCCCCCCTTCATCTGTGTGATGGAGGGTTCAGGCCGCGTCGTTCATCCACCGCTGATGACTTCATTCAAGGGCAACTTATCACCCACTCACAAGCCAGCTGAACCATACCGCACAGTGTCCTGGGGCAAATCACTGGCAAAATATTGCATTCTCATACGAGTTTGACAAAGCAAGCACAGGGGCGCAAGTTTTATGGCGTTTTTTTCTACTCTTTTTGCATATCTAAATATTTTATTTCTTTTTCTACAGACTCCAAATGCTCCAGTTCACTCTCCCTGCACTGTATTTCTTTGTCGTTGTCCGAGAAGGTTCAGAAAAACAGGTGCAGCTAAAATAGTCTGCCATTATATACAGTCATGGGAAATAGACGAAGCGCACTTTAAGATTCAGTGGCTTGTAAAACCACTTTTAGTCACAATAACTCTCGGTAAACACAACCAGTCTGTCACATCACTGTGACAGACTGGTATTTCGGGGCCTTTGATTGTTTGCAGCTTTGCTAATGTCTTCTCAAAGCACTTAATTCATGTTGATTTCCGGCCTTGGACACTGAAACGCTTAATCTGTCCAAAAGACAGAAAGCGTTCCTTCACTCAGATGCAACTTTTGAAAATCAAAATGTGTTCCAGGAAACATTTTCTTTACGACAGAAGAAGCTTTTTTTTCTGGCGGCAGCTCTGCTAAACTAACCAACCGCTTCAGTCTTTTTCCGACTCCGATGTCGTGGAGTTTAACTTTTAACATGCTAGCAGGAACGTTGCACAGTTAGGGTTTTTTTTCGCAATTTCTCCGACCAGTGCAAGGTTGAACGTTGTGACTTGGGGTGACTCTTGGTAAGATTGGTAGCTGTCTTAAATATTTCTAATCGTGATCCTTCTTATTGTAACGTAGAATGATGTTTGAAAATCAGCCTTTAAGCTCTTTCCAGAGTAATCGGCAGTAACAAATGCTCCTCGAGGGTCATTGCTGGAGTCTTTCCTCCTTGGCGTTGCACTAAACCTCACCGGTTTCCTCCTGACCAGCCGACTGACACGACTCCTGGTTTTATGGAGGTGGTCAACCTTGACGGTGACCAGCTAATCATCAGTGTGCATTACAGGCTTTGTTATGTCGTTTTAAATCTGTAGGGCAACTTTTTAGTGAAAAGAGTGGCAGATTTTCTACGTCGTCGTTGACAAACCCATTTCTTCTGTGTTTTGCAGGATTTGTTGAGCTGAATAATACGTTGACCACTTGCCACCCACCGCTGAGCGCAAACTCGGCTTCTGGACCACAAAGTCTGCTTCAGAAAAAGAGAGAAGAGAGCGCGAGCATTGACCCGGTCCAGGACACTTCCCTTTGGATGTACTAAAAACTTTTGAACTGAGAGAGCGTTTTCTGGTTAGCACCAGGACTTCTTTTCCTCCTGCACACATATATACACCTCCTCCACCTAAAAAAGAAAAAAGAAAAACAACACAAAAAAAAACCTGCTTGAATGACAGCTACCTTTTTCTGGACCACAGACACTTTTACTTGAACACCGAGATGGGGAAAAAAAAAAGTAAAAGATCCTCCATAAAATCTACTGATAATGACCAACTCCACTAAACTCTCCAAGGGGATATTGTCGCCAAAAGTCCAACAGGAAAAACAAACTTCTTAAAACCTGAACAGTGGATTGCCGTAGGAGATCCTTCTGAAAGGGACGGTTTCGGGGGCGTTTTTTTTTTTTGGGGGGGGGGGGGGGGGGGGGATTTTTTTTTTTTTTTTTTTTTTTTTTGGACAGCTGACTTTTGAAGGCCAATTTCTAAGACTTCAAGCCACCAGGTGCAAATTGAGAGAGAAAGAGAGCCGAGGTAGGGAATGTGACATTTTCGGGACACAGATTTTGGGATGGCCACCTTCAGCTCGGAGTGCCTGTCCGTTTCCAGGGAACACCGTTTGCCGAGGAGAGCCACAGCAACGGATTCCAGGGAGTCTTATCCGTCATTCCTTAGTTGTTTTAGGGACCAAAAGACCAAACGTTTTTATCGCTGAGGACTTGTAGCGCTAATATACTCGGACCACTGCATCTCCTTTCGGTCAGCATCGTCTGCCCGGAGAGTTGCACTTAAAGCAAGTGTACATTTCGAATATATACAAGAAACCTGTATATATACATATATATATTGCTGATATGCTTTTTTTGAATACAGGCAGAACTATTTCAGACGACCAAAAGGGGGGTCTCTCACTTCGCTAGTTTACAATTACGCAAAATGTTTATTTTTGTTCCCCTTTTCGTTTTTTCGTCTCGGGAGGGATGGCGAGTGCATGGGAGGGGCTGCTCCGTATCACAGCCTTATCTTTTTTAAAATCGACATCCTAACCTCACAGATAAAATAACATCCGAAACGTTTGAAATATACAAACTTGTTTATATTTGCAGTACATATATATATGTATAACGAGCATTCAAGCAAATGTATTCATATATATACGGTATATATGGATAATAGATATTAATCACAAATATATGTATTTATATGCACATGTTTCACATATGTGCGACTGTACATAGAGCGGCTACTGACTACGTTGAGCTGTTTTGTTTTTTTTGTTTTGTTTTTGTTTGTTTGTTTATTTTTTGTACAGTTTAGAAGGAGTTTGAAGCATTGCTCTGCTTGGGAAGAGAACCACACATCTGGCAGCTCCCCAAACACTGCAGGCATTCCTGTCTCTGATAACCTATATGCTGACACACGACATGTTGCTAAAAAAAAAAAAAGAAAAAGAAGAAAGATCAGCGTGTGTGAGAAAACGTATCTTCTGTAAATATTATCTGAAAAATGCAAAAAGCCACCTCTCAGTAGCAGGCTTTAAGGGAATCGGGCTAAAGAGGATTTTCTTTAGAGGAAAAGGACAATTATCTTCGACTCTATTCCAAAACATATCATGTGAGCTCACACACACACGCACACACGCATACACAAACTTCTCTTTGAAACTTGAACCAAAACGAATACGTCTCACAACCCTTGCTCTCTTTTTGCATTCAGTAAAGTGCATGTAGCGTATGGGCTGTCACCACGTCGAGGTGTGCCTTGTCACCTGCGGAATCTGCCATTCAGCACTGTGCTCCCACAATGAAGAAAAAAAAAAAAAAAAAAAAGACAGACACAAAGAAACCCGAACACACACTTCTGCAAGCAGCCACTGCGCTATTATGATGTCAAAAAAAAAAAAAAAAAATCCAGGCGGATCCATATCATTTCTCAGCCATGTGCAGAGCTTTAGCGCACGTCAAACGGAGCAAACCGTCCCGTCACTGCTGGGTCCACCGGTCTTTGGAAAGAAAACGACACAAAAAAACATGCATTCAGAGCTTAAAGGAGACACACTCTATGAAACGTGGGCATTAGGTGACCTGTCGGCACGTAAACTGTCAAAGCAGCGTGCGGGGCTCCTGTAAACTACCTTCCTTCCTCTTGTCGAAGCTGGAGCAAACGAGGCCGAATGAGGGAAGTGACCGAGCGGTATTTACAGCTATGACGTTATTGTAATGTTGGTCGGGAACGTGGTAACATTTGGCAGTTTGTGAGCAAAAATCTGCTGGTGACACGAAGCATTTACTTTAAAGATACGTCAGATCGCCTTATCCCCTTCCAAATGAATACAGAAGCACCGCGTCGGCACACAGTGACGGAAAGCCCTGGCAAAGATGCGTACACAAAGCCTTAAAACAAATGGTTGTTACGGAGACATCGTGACCCGTAAGATCCCACACTCTCTGCTGCAATTGTCCAACAGTAAACTTTTGAGACTTTTTTTTTTTTTTTAATGTGTTTCCTCCCTAGCCATGCTGCTCACTGTGCATATTGGCAAGTTGCAGGTGCATCGCAACAGATTATAATGTCTTTGAAAAGTTTATATTTGGTTCAAAAAGTCAACCTGGCAGGTTGCATGAACACAGAATTATATTTCAGGGGTCAATTTAGCTAACTATGTCCAACAGCAACTGAAACCCCAAAATTAGATTTTTTCAGAAACTTAACACGACAATAAAAATGTTTTGAAATGTTGAAATTTACGCTATGGCCTGTGAAATCCTGGGGTAGACTGCAGACCGCTTCATTGTTGGACATATGATTATTTAAAACACAAAATAAAACGGGATTAGAATACAAACAGAGTAATGCAAACTAACAACAAAATCTACCAACATCAAAAAAATTAAAGTTTACAAATGTATGTGTATTTTTTTTTAAACGAATTAGTATTAAACGAAATACATTTTTCACCGATATTCTGATTTAATGTGATGCACCTGTTCGGCCTTCTAGGTCGTACCTCCAGTCGTAAAGTTTACGTTTAAAACTTTTTAACTACTTTTCTTGTAAATATGTGCATGTGCACATTTAAGTGGGCAGATTTCTTTTTTTCTTTGCGGATATTTCCCAAGTTATGAAGACGAACAGACATCTGCCCTTCTTGAATGATACTTTGTACCCATCCCATTCTGAAGCGTTTATAAGAGAAATTAACCATCTCACACATTCTTCCCACCCCGAGAAAAGCTCTGGATTTAAAGTCCCTACAAAAGTAAATTGAAATTGCTTCAATTACATTTACATTTGCAGGAATCATAAAGGGTGTTAATAATTATGTCACTTTATTTTCCCCTTAGGAAATAAATGTACTCAAATTAAAGATTTATTTTTTCCTTAAATTTTCAGTTAGAGATTATAGTACTGCGAAAGAAAGAAAAAAGTATTTTATATTTTATTGCTTTTTACACATCTTTACCAGGGGTAGCAGTTGGACTTGATGGACCGGTGCTGGTACCGAATCTGCTAAATGAAGCAAATCCTTCCACTCAGTGCAGCTGCTATTTCACTTCATGGTTCTTCAGCATAAAGTTTCCTACAGTATTTTACAGGAAAATGCTGTGAACACCTACTATACACTTCCAAAAGGTCAACAGACGTGGATTTATTGGACTCCCCTCAATGCGTATCGAGCTGGTGGAGAATACTTCATGAATATTTATAGATATGCATATTTATAAGGCTACATGACACTTTTGGAAGACGACGCTTCCCGTTAGGTATCATTACTAGTTTTGGTGTAAACTGTTCACTATGCCGATGTCCCGGCGTTTGCGTATAACCGTTTTTTTGTTTGTTTGTTTTTAGCTGTTTGAAGAATTTGGCATTTACCTTTAAAATCCAGCGAGGGTTAAAAAAAAGAAACTTGCACCACACATTCTGGGTTACTTCTCTTTTTCTTTTCTTTTGCACCTACCAGTAATTTACTGCGCGTGTCATTCAGAGGAACCCGGATGTCCAACACGATTGGGTGCATCGGAATAAACCGTCTCTAACGATAGCATCGTCGGCCGCCGCATTGTGTCCCTTTTCGACTGCCCCACTGCTGCACCGAGAAAACTTCACAAAAACACAGAGGGAGACACGTTCACGGAGCAATCCTCCACGTCTTTTTTAACCCGTGCTTTCACGTTGAGGGACGTAGGAAGAGATGAAGCAGTCACGTGACGCATTCGTCATCTTCATTTGCTCTGAATCAAAGCTGCAAGTTTACAGGTTGGGAAAGGAAAAAAAATAAGTAAAAACAAAACAAACTTGGTTCAACAACAAGAAACAGAGCAGAAGTTTGAATATAAATATATATAAATATATACATAAACTGATGAATATACTGTAAATTATTTCTTTTTTTGCTCTGTTTTCTTCTGTACATAGGTTTGCATATTTTATAGGACTTTTACTTCTATCTACAAGGACTGGATAAAGTACTTTAAATACTTTAAATAAATATATATAAATATAAATATATGAATGAAAACAAGATAATGCTCATTAAAACCAGGTACAAAAAGAAAAGGTTAAAAAAAACAGTTGCTAGGTTACGGTGAAAACTGTAGGACTTGACCAAGGCATTTATCCAGAATACAGTCAGGGAGAGCATTGACCTCAGTTAGAGCTTAGACACACATTGACCTATTTTATAAAAAACGAAACATTTAAAAAACTTCAGTGGGTTCTCTTCATTTATTTGTTTAGATATTTGTTTAGAAGTCATGTCTGAGATGATATGCATGCTTTCACAGCATTATTTTTCTATGAGTTGGTACGTGACCAAATCTTTTTTTATAATGACATGCACGGGCCGCCGTCGTGGTCCGCAGATGAATCCTTGTTCCTGCCTTCAGCACTTCTTTGGTGACGGAGAAGAAAAACGTTTAAAAAGAAAAAAAGGAAAAAAAAAAAAAAGGAGCTCCTATTGACCAAGTGATGTCAGAGATAGATTTTAATCATTTATTTATCTTATTTATTTAATTTATTGCGTTTTTATTTATTTATTTGAGCTGTTTGAGTCAAGATCCGAGCTCTGCTGTCGCCACTAATCCTTGAAGGCGCTAATTTGCATCCCTCTGAATTTAACTTCCTCAAAGACTAATTTTTTGGGGGGGTTTTTTCCCTGTCACTAGTGAACTCTCAATGACAATGCAGTACTACACTAAAGCCTTATACATACTGTAACGATAGATC